GCAAAAAAAGGACTATCGCGACGCGCTTTCCAAGACGTTCCGAGAAGTATGCGTAGACGAACCGCAAGTCACAATCCTCAGCGTGTACCACACAGGCTTCGCCAACAGGCCAGAAGAGAGGCAAAAGAAGACAATACTCCTGTTTCGAAGAACAAGAGTGGGAGCGGTATAGGGAAGTCCGACAAGCAAAAACATCTACGAAAGGAAGGAATTGAAAAGGCCAGGAGAGCCCGGGAAAAACGCGAGAGGAGAGAAGCAAAAGCCGAGAGTAGTGTTACTGTCACTATGGAAGCGATCAAAAGCAACAATACGACGGAGGGTACTTTGAAGTCCCAGATATCCCAGAAATATTCAGATGGGAAAGAAAAGAAACGCAAGAGAATGACTGTATTAAGCATTGCACCCACCCCTCCATCCAAATTTCGACGACGCCAAATCCATAAAACTTGGTTGCCGACACACGTTTGGCACGCGAAGCGTGCACTCATGACCCCTCCGAACGAGCCACTTTGGCGTTTCGCCATACCATTAGCTCCCGCCGTTAAATCGTATCGTCTTACCCACCGTGCTGCTTCACTTCGAGGAGCTGTCGCCTGGGACACAAGCTATATAGGAACAATCAACTTGGAGGGCGTAGAAGCTAGCATCTCTGGGCTGCTTAAATCTGTACACTTTTCCGAGGAAGATAATGATGATCCATGGGCAACAGGGCGGAGAGGAAAACGCTGGAGGGATGGCGTAAGGGCATGGGATGGATGGATGTATGAACGAGAAGGCCGGCATCCAAAGAAGAAGATCGCTTGGACGACCGTCATTTGGAGTTCTAAGGAAGAGGCTAATGGAAAGAGGAGGGCTTTTGTGAGAGTACACCCGGGTGCATTTATGCAACTTTGGTCGGAATTGATCAAAGCCTCAAAAATACAGACGCCTGCTGTCATTGTCGAGGATCTTCGCTTTGAGGTTGGGTCGATTGAGATTATGGGACCGGCAGCAGCCGAGACATTGTGTTCCATTTTACATCCATCGACTTTTGGTACCGAGTCATCAAAGCTTCATTCATCTACACTGGCCAAAATTTGCGCTGTCGCAAGTCCCGCCATGCTTGCGCCAGGCGCGCTGCTTGCTTTCCCGATAACTGACCCCCGGCTTCGAGACCCACCGAGTTCCACCAACGTACCACAAAACATGGAAGATGAACTAACAGAAATACTTGCACATTGGCCGGTTGACAACACCACCGCGCCTGCGGATATCTTTGATCGTGATATCAGAAAAGCTGCTGATAGAATACTTCCATCTCAACAATCAATTAATCGTCGGAAAGGTGCTGCAGATCCCGGCCAATATCCTGAGGCACGATCCACTGATCCTTATATACCGATGCTCACCTACGTGTCACGAACTAGTAACTCATGGACTGTTCTACTCCCGTGGAAGAGTGTTCTCCCAGTATGGCGAGGTGTGATGCGCTATCCTGTTTCAACTGGAGAAAATCCTAGATTTGGTGGTATCAAGGAGAGGCGTCAAGTCAGTTACGAACGTTCGATACCTACTTTTCCATTTGACTATCCTGGAACGGATGCTGGATGGGCATGGGAGCTACATGCACGGACTGAGCGACAACATGACTGGACTAGGAGACCAAAGGGAAAGCGCATCGAGTGGACTACAATCGACCTTGGTAATGGTAAAAAAGGCGAGGTTGGCGATCCATGGTCTTGTGACTGGGAGAAATTGTTGTCAAAGCGCCAGGGCATGAGAAGCGCACCCAGTATCAAGGATGAACACACCATCACCACTCCTCTTCGACAACTATCTTCTCGGGATGCCACCAAACTAATTGCAAGACCAATTGTACCCACGGAGCAATTTGTCATGCCTCATATTTTCACAGTCAAGATCAACATGGTACAACGCGGCGTCCCAGCAGATTGTGCGCGTATCTACCGTCTTCCTATTGTTAACACAGGCCTTCGAAGAAAATGGCTTGCTTTACAATCTATGATGATATCTGGAGTATCCAAAGGAGTAGGGGAAGATGTCAAATTTGCTAATAAAAGACAACAACTTTCGAAGGACTCCCGGACGAAAGCGCTGGCCGCAAATTTGTTAAAGTCGACACAATCTAGCCGACGTGGACTCAATGTCGGAGACGCAGACTATCCAGTGGTACCTGACGAGGAAGATTTGATAGGATTCGTCACAACGGGCAATTACAACCTTTCAGAGGGCCGACCAACCGCTATTGCGAGTTTGGTCATGCAGATGGTTCTGCAGGAAAGCAACCCGAAAGAGAGACAAATTTGCATCGTAAGGGAAGCTGGGCAGACTTTCGGCAGAATGGCCACCTGGACAATTTTGTAATGATGATGAACACCAAGGAAACACGACGAATGAGAAGACTTCACAGCATCAAAGGCTCTGCCTACTTGATTTCGTGCCCGTTTCCCAATTCAAACACTGTCCTGTGAACGACTCATTAGCCTAATCGCTGGTTGATCTATCGCGTCCTGCCACCTTTATACGGGACTCCTATATAGCGCAATGCGAAAATGTATGTTGATATAGAATTAGAGGTGTGTTCAGATGAATATCTCATTTGAGTACTTCAAATTTTTCGTATTCGATGCTGGCTGAACGATACAACAGGAGAAGCCAAACTTTTGGTAGGCTGACCTAATTGGGGTAAGTAGGATTTAAGCTATGAAACTGTAGCTCATCTAAAGCATAATGAAAGAACAGGCTTGTTAATCAATCCTATATGCAATTCCTCAAAATACTCCACCAGTGATCTTCTTCGAGTGTCTGATTGCATATGTAGTAAGCGACCGTTAAGAGTGAACTTAGTCAGCAAATCGTGGCGGCGGCTAAACTTGGAACCGTTAGACTGTCACAGGTTATCTCCGAACCCTTTGCCTCAACGCAACGTCTCAGGAACAAAGAAGACTCTACCACCACTCCCTTATTTTCACGGTTTACCGACGACGGCCGTTCAGCAGCATGTCTGAGGACAAAGCAGCCGACGGCCAGGCCGACGGTGTCGGGACGGCCGAAGGGTTGACTCTGGATGCGCTGGCCGACCTGGTACGGCCTCTCCTCCCTCCCGAGCTAACATAAGCCATTGCTAACTTCACGTCGCGATTTCAGACAGCAGAGATTCTCGAAGATTCCCTCTACAACATAGTATTTCGCACTGCGATGTCGAGCCATCGCGCCGAAAAGGCTCTCCGTATGCAGTCAGCCGCTACCCAAGCCGAATCCATTGCCCTGTCCAACCTTGAGCCAGCGGCGCAAGTGAAAGGGTTGAACAGCCAAACCACCGTTCCATCCGCCGAGACATCCGCCGCAAAATACGATAACGGTCAAGTGTATCTCAAGGGGAACCCTTTGAAGACAACGCCAGAAATCGTGTGTCCTCACTGCAAGTTACCACGGCTTATGCATCCCATTATGGGCAAAGGCATGCAGGCGCCAGATCTTACGCGAGAGTATTGCAAACTGTATCCATTCGTCCAGCAGCAGGGACATGACGTCTACGGGAACCCATTTCCGACTGACATGGCCAAGAGCAAAAAGGAGCGTGAGCTGATCAAGCAGCAGCAGAAGAACGCGGAAAAGGAGAGCGTGGGAACACCCAACTCGCAGGATACCGATATGGCCGGAGGTGATGCACAAAATAAAGAGATCAAGCTGAACACAGGTGGCAAACCAGCCTCGTATGTTCCATGGCATACATGTCCCAGCTGCAAGAGAAGCTTGCTCATTACGCGATTCGCGCAGCATTTGGAAAAATGCCTGGGTATTAGTGGTCGGCAAAGTTCAAGAAACGCAATGGCCAAATTGGCGGGACATAATGGAAATGGTTCGGGTGCGGGCAACACGCCTCTTGGTAGTCGCATGGGCACGCCTGTGCCAGGTTCACAGGGCGATCCGGTGGCGAAGATAAAGGGCAAAGGAATTAGCCCAGTCAAGAAGCTAGGCGACGATGACGACGATGGTGGCGAGAACGACACTCCTGAAAGAAAGAAGAAGAAAAAGAGCAACTATGTTAAGAAAGCCGATAGATTAGGCAAAGAAGGAGGAGCAGCGGGTTCACTTAAGGTCAAGCTCAAGACGAACTCAAGTAAAGACAACCTCAAAGACTTAGATCGAAAACAGCGGGATGGGTCGGAAAGGTCGGAAAAGCCCGAAAAGAGGGAACGCGAAGACAATGAAGACGGTGCACCGAAGGCGAAGAAGATCAAGTTGTCCTTAGGGAAGAACGACGCACGATCTCCCCCAACTCCAGTCAGCGCAGAAGTCGGGGGTTAACCAGTCGCCTCACACAGAGTCAGCTCGATGTATTGTGTATTGGAATTTGGGTTGCTGTTGCATTTGGATATCCGGCATTTTCAGGCGTACAGGTGGCATGGTGAATTTTACACACACTGGCGGGCCGCGTCGAGAGCATCGACGGAGGGGGCGTTTTGACTGATTTTCATTCCCTGGATCGAATTACCCTTTGCTGATGGATATGACCAACTTTTATTATTTTGTTCTATGATGAAAAGCAAACTCATAGTCTGTATTAACATGCTAATGATCGAATCAATGATCGGTTTTTACTCCCAAAAATAATATTATTCGTTTAGTTCTAATCGTGATATGTATTGATATGATTAAGAACTGCACATCACGTCCTAAACGTATTACAGCCGATATGATAAGAGCAAAAGGCATTTACATCTAACATTGTTGTCGTTCTTCCCACGAGTTTCGGCATCCGGCTTGTACCCCTGACTACCCCCAATCAAAGCGCGCAACTTCGAGATTTTCCAAGTGGGCCTAGACTGCGACTAACTTTTTTTCGACCCCCATGCACCCCTACACATTAAATATTCCACTTGACTGTACTGTGTGGAATTTCTTTGCGTCGAGTTTCTACCCCCAGTTTTCTCTTGCAATATAGTCTGCCTAAGTCGGCAAAATCTCCATCAATCACATCCACAAACTTGTGAATTGGCTCGGTGGTGTAGTTGGTTATCACGTCAGTCTAACAACTGTTAGCAACACTGAAGGTCCCGAGTTCAAACCTCGGCTGAGTCAAGCAAAGTCCTCATCGTCAAGATGGGGGCAGGTGGAATATATACCTTTCGGGCGTGGTGGCGGAGTGGTTATCGCGCAAGACTAGAAATCTTGTTCCTTTGGGAGCGTCAGTTCGAATCTGGCCCACGTCGATCTTTTTTTGCTTTCTGAAAATAATTCCTGTATCTTCATAGGTTTCATTTTGTCAAATGTCTGTCGCCTGCTAGCATGCAGTAGGATAAGTGGATTGGGGACTTAGACATGACAGCAAGGGAGAATGGCGTGTGGCTGCCTAGCTAGCGCCCTAGGGCTAATGTTTTTACCCATGAACGAATTCTCACGAAATTGATTGCTATTAAACCTAATCAACAATGCAGACACTTCCACTCCGCCGATCAGCAAGACATCAATCTAATTATGTGACTGTGAACCAAACACCTCCTCATCAAACGCAGACCCACAAGCACAAAGCTAATACTCCTCAATCAATCCAAGACTCTACAACAATATCTGTTCTGCCTCAAAAGCTACCCGACAAACTTCCTGGTCTTACCAAAAGGGGGGTTCAACTGTTGCGTTCCAAACAACTGCATCTGAGAAGCCCACAATCTCAAGCCCACAACATTCACGATTTCTATGGTCAGAAATCTGATAAATCCACACTCCTGAAGCAAGCTATCAACGCTACATTAGTATTTGCGCAAGAAGAAGCAGTAAGTTGGGTAGCCTGGATCCATTCTGTTCAATCCAAATTCAAGTCCAATCATCTACGAAGATTAACTTGTTGCAGGGCACTGCTATATGCATATCTTCCTCAGGCCTCCTACTAACCTGCTCCCACTGCGTCGCTGAGTCTGCAGATGAACTTGATACAGACAAAATATGGTGGCTCTTATTCGCATCAGGCCAAGCTCTTCAAGCGAAAACCGTGAAATGGGATCCCAAGCGCGATCTCGCATTGCTCCAAATCACAGCTACTCAACACAATCAAAGCGTTGGTAATATACTTGATATGGATTCAAAGACGCTTCCTTCAGCCAGTTCATTTGTATTTCCTTCCATAAGCCACATTTCTCGCATCCCTCCACCCGTTCGTACGAACCTCATCTGCATCGGACATCCTGGCTCTGAAGATCTGGAGATTGGTCGGCCGGGCGTTGCAACGGGTTATGATGTCTTGCATATCAGCGAAGGAAAGTTCTGTGGCTACGCAAAAGGTCAAGATGTGCAAGACAATAGCGAAATTGGGGCGCTGATGCATGATTGTTGGACTTATTGGGGTCATTCTGGTGCCCCGCTTGTGGAGAGGAAGACGGGCGCGTTGGTGGGATTACATTCGAGTTGGGACGAGGAGACAGGAATGAGAAGGGGCGTGGGGTGGGAAGCGTTGGGAGCATTCATGAAGGAATGGGAAGAAGAGGAGTTGCAATTGTGATAGCTGAAATTAATTGGGCATGATATGATATAACCATGCCGTATGCCAGGCAAAACTGTCTTATTGGTAATTTATATGAACGCCTGAAATGCTCAACCCCAACTTCGTGTTTTCTTTTCAGAGATTCACAGGATACCTTTTTCTGACATACCCACCCCATTTCAAGAACAGAAAAGGAACGGGAGTGACGGCAAGAGTGATGAAACCCAAAAGACTGTTGCCCCATCCTAGACCTAAACTTTCATACAACTTCGGTCCGATCAGGGGCAGAAAGGCTCCAAATATACTGCGCAAACATACGAGAGCCGCTACGGCCGATGCTGCTGTCGAGAGGAATGCATCGACCATATAAGTTTGGCAAGGCACAAAAATGCCGAGCAATCCGAACCCATAGGGAATAAAGGACAAGCAAGGAACTATCCAATGTACGGATGTGCGAGCGGTCCAGCCATATATGAAGAGAGCAACAGGCATGAATGGCGCAAAGTATATTGTGGTTGCAAGACGCATTTCAGCTTCCAGACGTTAGTTCAAGTCGATACTTGGGAATTTGACACGTACGTTCAAAAACGCCCCCATTCTTCTCCCGCATGCGAACAACAGTGCGGTCATTGAACTTGACTATAAATCCGAGTGCGATCTATGCGAATAAGCAAGCAGACAAGCAAGAGTTGATGGATAGTGACAACTCACAAACATTCCTAATCCGACTACAGCATTCGTAAGCAATAAGAAATTGGAAGCAGCCTTGAGTGGAACTTACGGCCGAGGTATGCAAGGCCCGTGTATTGTATCTCAAATCCGTAGGTGTTCTGATAGACATCGGGTATAGTAGTAAAGAGTAGATCTATCTCAGTAAGCTTGCGATCAATCAGTCATAGAGAGATTGTGCCTACATAATGTTCCATAAACGATACTGACATATAAAGAGATCAGAAAAGCAATAGGCGAACGAAAAAGAAACTGAAAAAAGCTTTGTTAGTTCAAAATATAAAAATGGTAACTGATTGTCGTACCTTGACTGGACGGACGATACTTCGAGCTAAAACTTCGCGAGGTGGCAACCGCATCTCGAGGTGTGAATGTAAATCATCGCGGCGGAGCTCTTTTCGCAAGCGCTTGGTTTTCTTCGCTAGTACTGTCGGATGGTTTGATTCTTTCATGAAGAAAATCATCAAGATATTCAAGGGACCACTACTCATGATCAAAATCCAGTACGCTAAGCAATGTGAGCACTCAACGCAGCGAGCAAATGGAAATTCATACGAACCCCATCTCCATCCAAGATACTGACTAATGAAGCCTCCTGCAATAGGGCCAACTATTGCAAAATCGTTAGTAGGCTGGAAGATGATGATACTGAATCTACTTACCGACGGGGGCCAAAGACGGGGTTCCAATCACGATACAAGAAGCGGTTGCACGCTCGTGAACGGCAAAAACATCACCGATAACAGCAGATACAATGGTCATCACTGCTGATCCACCTATACCAGCTAGTAGACGCATTATGATGAGACTAGGCATGTTCGGCGCAAAACTACACCCCAGAATGAACGCATTGAAGAAAGCACTAGAGACGTTGATGACAAGAACTCGACCATACATCTCAGATAGTGGAGCAAGAAACAAAGGTCCCACGGCGTAGCCGAGCACATATATAGATATCATGAGGGTTCCAATGGTTTTCGAGGTTAGGCCGTAGTCTTCGAGAGTGAGAGAGGTCCCTGGAGCGCATAAGGAAGATGCCATCGGTGAAAAGGTTGACATGCCGACCATCCAGAGCATCAACATCCACTTTTTACCCCATTTCCAATTCCTGTTCAGATGTCAACTCGGTGCATTTCTGTTCTTCGCCAGAGGAAAACATACTGTGGATTTTCAGGGTCTTCGGCACTTTCCCAACCAACAAGCCCATTCTCGAGATCCATCAAGACCAATGCACGATCTCCACTTGCGGTTGCAGCATGTTTGGGAGTTTTATGTCGACCACTCTCTGAATCCACGACGAGCATATTGGCTGTGTCTCGTTGCCTGTCATTTGGAATGCTCTTCTCAGAGCTATACTCTGGGGTAGCCTTTTCTTCCGGCATGATGATATTATCTAGGAGCACACGCGCATCTGAAGAGAAGTAGAAAATAGACGAGATGGAGAAGACGAAATGTTTCAAACTCAAAAAAATATCAACAAAGTAGAGAATCCATACAACCACTAAGTTGTAAGTGCATCAAATCGACTGACTCACACTTGCCTGGACTTGAAAGCTATGTGTTTTACTCCAGCTGTGGGCATAGCCAGAGGCAATATTTGAATCGGAAAATGACACCCGGATAACCGTTTCTTTAAAGCAGGTCATGCTAACAGCAGCTACTGCACGCTCTTTTAATGTTTGATGATCACAGACTGGGGTGTTAATCGAACAGCTTCGATGTTTTCCATAATGAATCTTGCATACGTTTTCTATCGATATGTTGACTTGCCCATTGACTCAAGAGAAGAGCAGATTTAAGAATCCCGAAAACATGTCCTGAATCGTGAAATAGTTCAAAAGACGTATTGTCTTCAAGAACGAGTCACCGGAAAAATGGCGACTGGACTAAGCAGAGGCAAGGATCAAGAGGAGGAAAAGGAGTTGCGATGCTAGCGTTCAAATAACGTCCATGCTTAACATTTGGTTCCTGTGACAAGTCCACGCAGATCGAGTCAGGCTTGCTTTCCTACGGCAAAATACATGAGTCTACAGATGAACGATTCCGCGTTGTGGAGACCCAGAGATGGCGCGGGGAAATTTAGATGGATGATGATGATGCTGTTCGGGAACTCTTCCTTGAGTTGGGGTGGTGAGGGGCAACCTTGAATGGTGCACATGTGCCTGAGGCAGCTTCAGCCCTATGAACTTTTTCGGTCAGTTGAACCCCACATTCCTTCATTCGTCGCCATCCCGCGTCGCAACACCACCAACGCAGACGATAATGGAAGAAGACCGGGCAGCCACAAACCTTGGCCCTTTGGCAGAGGAGGGGATATCAGAAGAACCCGTCATCATACCAAAACAGCCAAAGCGACGCTTCGTAGGACGGAAGACAGCTGGTAACACCGCCGACAAACCAGCGGATCCAAATGCGAACATCGAGGATAGTAGCGCTATACAAGGTGTGAGATACCCACGGTAGCTCCTTTGAATTCACATAAGAGTAATCTAACAACTGTTTTCAGTTGCCCAACCTCGTCGAACTGCCCGCGCCCTGAATACCATCCCCGAGTCCATCCTCCACGATCAGGACTTGAACGATGCCATCGCACTTCTCCCTCCCAACTATAACTTTGAGATCCACAAATGCATACACCGAATCCGAACGTCGGGTGCAACGTCCATTGCTCTCCAGTTCCCAGAAGGTCTTCTCCTTTTCGCAACCACCATCTCCGACATCCTCACCCGATTCTGTCCTGGAACAACCACATTGATAATGGGTGATGTCACTTATGGCGCATGTTGTATTGACGATTACACTGCCCGCGCGCTAGGATGCGATCTTTTGATCCACTATGCGCATAGTTGTCTGATACCAGTCGCGGTGACCAAGA